TGTCTTCTCAACTCTGGACGTCCGAAGCAATCCGATGCCCAACTATTCCCAACCGCTTATTATAGTCACCTTTGTCTTTGTCGCCGCAATGTTTTTCACAATTAATAAAAATGGCATTGTTTTCAATTCGGGTTTGTATTCAGCAATTCAATTATGGAAACAAATATCTGAATTGTATTTTTTATTGAAAGCCCGAGATTTAGGGACTCGACTGTACGGCGCTCTTGTCCTCGGATTTCAAAGAGCCTTTGAGTTCGTTTGCATTCATTATAACTTAAGATTGAATTTATTTTCCCATAATTTAGAGACTTATCGTATTGCTATTGGATATCACAACAGTTGTCGATGACATTAGGTTTTTTGTTCGGCAGTTGGTTTTATGTCTTCATATTTGGATCAGATTCACAAACTAAGGATAACCTCTCGAATGCCAATACAATGACAAACACTAAAAAACGTGAAAATATCGGTCGCGAAGAGAATGAAATTACAAATCATAACAAAATGACAGATCAATTGGTGGCGGATAAGGATAAAGGCATCCAAACCTCCAGTGATGACCAAAACATACAACAAAATCACAAATAGCTTATTAATTGGTCAAAAAATAATTTCAATGTTAATTAATAATTTTATTAAATATTTATATTATAGTAAAACAAATAATAGTTTTAAAAAGTTTTAAATTCTAGCAATTATTGATGATCTTATTTGGAAATTATAATTTATAAAATTAGCATTTGCTGTTTAAATTATTATTTTATATTTTAATTCTTATATAATATAATTGTATAAAAGTATTAAAAATTACACAGTAAAAATTAAAATATCAAATTAAAACCAATTTCCTATAAATATATTAGTGCTTTCATATAATATTTATAAAGTAAACAATTTTTATATAAACCTCTCCAATGAATAACTAAATCAATCAATTCATGAACACTCGAGATCTGAGCGAATATTTTGTAAAGAATTTTACAAATATTTTGATTCGGATTTATATAAGAATACAATGAATTTGTATGCTTTTCATATAGTAATGAAAATGTAGTTTTAGTGAAAATAGGTATCAATAAAATTTCATAATTGCACATAAATGTCACATAATTCCAGTCATTAGTAGTAATGACCACAAACAGTGGAATACTGTTTAACACCAAACATATTAGATTTGTGCATAATTTGCATTATTATTTAAAAGTATGAATGAGTTGTGCGATGAATGTGATTTAGCATTTTTACAAAAATTATGTAACTCTAGTAAAAACTCTTAAACTAAGTATGCTTAAAATAAACTCTCATCTATGAAAGTATCAATGATTGCACTCAATTTGCCTTTAAATGAGATTCATCGACAGCTCAATGCATTGACTCACATTATAATTGAAATAAAATCAGTTTTTTGTAAATAAAGTTTTATGAATACTATATAAAATGTTGTCTGTTATGATTAAATATAAACATTTTGTGGAAAACATAACTCTTGAGGTACTCTGGGCTAAGCAAATCCAATATATCTGGTGCTGAGAATGAGACTCAAAGGAACGGCTATTTTATGTAAAAAGGACGACAAGATTCTGAAGGCGTCTGAAGTGTATTGAAGGCCTACATTACAAGCGGGCGGACACACGACGTTCACCGTCTCAACCAATTCAATCACTTCCTCCCTGAACCCCAACTTATTGACGGCCCGACACGAGTACAGCCCGTACTGCCTCTTCTCAATACGCTTCACACGGAGTGTTGTGTCCGTGAATTCGTCACTTCTGGCAAAGATGGAGATCTGGTAGTGTTGGTTGTCATTCAAAAGCTGCCCGTCCTTTAGCCACAAAACACTGGGACTCGGGAACGCCTCAATATGACAGTGCAGGTCAGCGTCATATTGTAGGGCCTGACCTGTCTGTGGTCGAGCTATGGATATAAACGGCGGGAACTCCACCTCCACCCCAATATGTCTTCGCGCACCACTACTGACACCGTTGTCAGCGACACAGTAATAGGTGCCTCTCGTGTCTTTGGTGATGTTGTCTAACCGCAGACTATTACCCCTATAGTACGCCATCCCATTCGGGAGCAGTTGGTTTTGCTCCCGACGCCAGGAGATAAGTGGCGGCGGATAACCTGACCATACATTTGATTATTTAGTCATTCAATTCATAACCAATTATAATGTGTATCTAATACCTGATGCATAGCATTGGAGGGTTACGTTTGCGCCCACATATGTAATCACACTATTAGCAGGGATTGGCATTGATTACATTCAATTTATATCATGTCTTAAGTTAAGTGAAACTTAAAGAAAAACCATACCTTCGAGTGCTGTTATCACTGATCACTGGAGGGATTTGTATGAACACGTTAACGTCAGCCGAGACCTACAGAACCATTAAGTTATAAAACAATTAAGAAAAGTTTCTAAACTGGTGTCCAAACACTGCAATCAATGGTATACTTTGCTGGAGATGCCAGTAGTGATTTCGCACCGGTATTCCCCGGAATCGATCTCTTGTACTTTGGATATAACTAACGTATAAATGGATTGCTTTTCATCGAATCGCACGGAGTAGCGACTGTCGGGTATAATAGTGGTCGAGCCCCGGGAGATAAATAAGTGGTTGTTGGGGTTGTCGTGATTCACTTTAGTCCACACAACCGGGTAGTCCTTCGCATACTGCACCTGACAGTACACTTCCAGTGAGTCCCCAATACTCACCACT